GGTGGAGCCACTTCTACGAGGGCCACTTCTACCAGGACGACGAGCTTTTCGATCTACAGCGACTCGGACTCGTCCGCATCCGAAAAGCCGACCGAGGACGCCGGCGAGGACGCGCAGTCGCGGCCCGGCGCGTGCAAGCAGTTGCTGCAGAACCTCGCCTGTTCCCCGCTGGAAGACCTCGCGCTGCACCGCGTCATGATGTTGTCGGGCGTCCCGCCGACCTTTGACCTGTCCAACGTGTCCACGTTGGAGCAGTTTGTCTATTACTACCAGCTGCAGGAGTGCAAACGACTGCTGTATTGGCGGGATCTGGAGGGCCAGTGGCAGGAGGAGTTTGAGGAGTTGCAGGCCCGGTTGCTGCAGCTGCAGCAAGAGAACAGCCTGTTTGACCAAACGGGGATCACCGGCACGCCCGGCGTCGTGGAAAACAAACAGCAAATCGATCAACTCTGCAAGCAATTGACGCTGAGTTGTGCAGGCGCAGTGAACCCAATTCGCGACTCGAACTTCCACCCCCAGATGTTGCAGCAACTCAACGACAATCTGAATCAGCTGACGGAGATGAAGAAAAAAGCCTGGTCACCGCCCTCACACCTGGTCGCCGCCAACGCGGCCATTGCGCAGCAGTTTCGGGCGGTCTCGCAGTTCTCCCAGATTTGCGCGGAAACCCGAATGGGGGGCGGAACCAACGCGATCGACGACGACATTGCGGCTTTTGCCGCGGAGCAGGAGGGCGGAGCGGCTTCAGCTGAGGAGGATCCGAATTGGTCAATGAAGACAGGTGGGACGGCAAGATCAGGAGCTCTTGCGACGAGTAAAACAAAGCGACCGTCGAATTTTCCAAGCAGTTACATGAGCAAAATTGTCTCGAAAAGTTCCATTCCGACAATAGAGGAGGGGTACCACATTGCTGAGAAATACCTAGAGAAACTCGACAAGCTGCTGACCAACACCCTAATCTGGAGTTTCCTGCGCCCCCCCGAAGACGTGGTGGTCATGCAGCGCGCGGGAGTCGGCATAGGATCTTCGTCAATCATGGGAGGCGGAGGCTCCTCCTCGTCCTCTGCAGGGAGGTCGTTATTTGCTGGATCATCGTCCGCCGCAGCTTCTGCCGGTGGCATGAGAATAGTGTCGTCATCCGCTTTCGTAGATCACCACTCGCCCGGGGGCACGACCAGGTGCTCGTCCAAGGGCAACCAACTAACCTCCACCTGCTTGGAGGATTGGCGGCCGCTTCGAGACGCCCTGCAGAAGCAGCAGCACGTGGATCTGAGCACCGAGCATTGGCAGGTCGTGGAGCAGGTGGGACGGCGGCTGGCCGTGAAGAACTTCGTCGGCGGCCCGAACGCGGTGTTGGACAGCAGCAACGCCTCAACGTCACGCAGAAGTATGAAAAGCCGCACGAAACAAGAACGCAGCGCGCAAAAAAAGCAAGCGGTGGCGGTTTCCCTGGACAAAGAAGCGGACCACGCGGCCGTGGTGGAGAGAGCAAGCGGAAGCGCGGCTGCATTGGCGACTACGACCGCTGCGGTTGTTATTGCACCAAGTTCATCTTCATCGTCCAAGAACTCGCTGTCCCCGCCACCTGGGGCAGCTCCTGCCTCAACTACAGGAGCAAACAGTCGGCGAGGAGGCGTGGCATCTTCGGCATTCACTGCCACGGCATCATCATCTCCCGGAGGTACTTCTAGCAATAGACCGTCGCCCGAGCACCGCGGCTCTGCTCTTTCCCCGGGCCGCGGTGGAGGAACGACGGGTCTTCATTCCGGTGCGGCACCTGACCGGAGCAATAAAAGCAGCAAAAATGATTATACTTTTCACACGATGACGATGCACAAAAATTCCTCCTCGTCTCGCACATCTCCATCTCCGCGAAGAAGCTCTTCGAGCTCCTCCGCAGCCTCCTCTTCTACAACAGCGGGTGGGGAATCGTCTTCTTCATCTTCTTCTGGGAACGCCAGCGGGAGCGGGTCGTCATCAGAAAATCAAAATATATTGATCGGAAGTAGTACTAGTGCAGGAGCTGGTGGAAGACCTGGAGCTGCTGGAAGCACGTCAGCTACTAGCAGTGCCACGTCTCCGCGCAGCGCCATACATTCGCAGGTGCAGCGGGAGGAGGAGAGGCGGCGACAGCAGGAGGAACAGCGGATCGCGAAGCGGTTGAAGTGGGGTTTACCGGTGGATGAGGAGGAGGAAGAAGAGGACGGGTTATTTTTGAATGATCGTACTAGTAGAAGTACCGCTCAACAAGCATTTAGCAAAAGCGAAGACCTCATCTCGGCCGCGCCTTCGTCTAGATCCTCGTCAAGTAGTAGCAGCAGCGGCAGCAGTCGAGAGGGTTTCAGAAGTTCTTGTGCCGTTTCGGGCACCTCCAGCACATCAACAAGAGGACCAGGAGGGTATGCTACAACTTTTGATGGTAGCCGTGACGGCACGAGAAGTAGTAGTCCGCAAACCAAACGAGATGGCCACGACCGACATCTTCAAAACGGGCTGCAATTCGGGAAGATGAAAGCTACGGTGGTTAGCGTCGCGCCGGCGGCAAACCCAGCGGCGTATTTCTCCCCCTACTCCGCTCACGCGATGCAGCATCTTCCCGGTGGAGGTGGTGCACCAAGTGCTCATGCAAACTTTCCTGCAGCAAAGCAGGGACCCCCGGACCGTGACGACGTCGAGCAGATTCAGGATTCGTACAAGTTGGCGAACAGCGTCACTTGCCTGGACGGCACGCAGAACCTGTGGCTGGTGAAGCCCGTGGACACCTGCCGGGGGATCGGCATCCAGGTGCTCCGCGACTTCCGGCAGATTCTGCAGTACAGCAAAACGCAGGCGGGGAACAGTGCGAACCAGAATAAGCTCGGGACGCGTGGGTATCGCGATTACATTCGCGGCCCGCACGTTACGTCCGCGAATAACTCGCCCGCGTCCCACTACTCCCCGAAGCTGGTGGACGACGAAGACCCACGGGCGGTATTGGACCACTACGCCATTGGGGGCTCGAACGATCATCAATTTACTTCGGGACGCGGGGCAGGAGACCACCACCAGGAGCGGATTCACTACTTCGGAGCCGCGGCTGCGGGAGCGAGTTCTTACGCACGTGGTACTGGTGGGGCGACTGCAAGCAATGGTGGCAGGATAGCTGCGGTGTCGAATTATAGCAGCCACAGCTCCACTTCTTCATCTTCTCTGATCTACAACCACTTGGGCGTTGCGATCGCTGCTAAGGACCACAATACTGGTAGAGGGCAACAAGATATAATTAACCACACGTCGGCCCAAAATGGTCGACCAGGTAGTTCAACCGCGTCATCGTCTAGACAGCAGCACCATAATCTCCGGAACGCAGCGAGCGAAAGTCCAAACGTGAAATTCCGTGCTGCGGCAAGCCGTGCAGTTCGGTTTTCAACCGCCACAACTTGTTCTACCCAGTTGTATGACAGCGGTGGCAAAAGCGCTGCGATCGTGGACAACTCGAGGAGTTCGAACTCTAGCCATCATGCCCACAACGGAGGGGGATCATCCCAGGTCGTGGTTGCTATTCCAAAAACTAAACAGAAATCTCCGTCCAAGTCTCCCGGTCTGCGTATTGGCGAAAACCAGTTGGACGAACTGCTAGCGACGCCGCAAGAATTCTATCAACTGCAAAAATGTCTGGGTCTGGAAGGGTGCGAACTTGTGATGCTCCATTTGGATGCTACAAAAATCTGTATTGCATGAACAGCACCAAAAACGGTCCAGTTTTTGCCCCGGCGGGAGGGCATTTCTCATGCGGAATTGGAATAGGCATCAAGAAGCCCTCACAAAGTGTGTGATGCTAGGGCATACATCACAGACGTCAGGAGTCATGCAAAATATGCATGACAAGCCCGGCAACATAAACATTCCAGACCCAGACATTTTTGCATCTGATAAATTCAATTACGCAACAACTACCGGGGTAGCCGGTGGAAGTGCAAGTGGTGCTTCGTCCAAGGCAAAGTCCCTGTCTCCCGACCACCGACGGAACGCGACCAAGCTGACAATGACCCAGTTTCTGCAGCACATGGACGAACGAGAGGAACGGCGCATCCGACACAAGTGGAAGTCCGCAACCGTGAGCAAGATCCTGCAAAACCCGTTCGCGAAAAAGACCAGTCCCACCGGTATGGGAAGCTGGCGCTACCTGTATCCTGAGTAAAATAAACTACGTCCCCACGACGACAACCCGCGGTCCAGAGTTGTCGTGCGAAATGCCACGACAAATAAAATGTTTCTCATGTAGTTTCCGCGCAACCCCATTAGATAGGAGGAGCATTTTGATTTGTGTAGCCGAATTGCCACCTTGTCCCTGACTCCACCGGGTTGGGGACGTTTATTTTACACATGACAACCTGGCGCAGAAGTACATCGAGCGTCCCTTGGTCATCCACCACGACGGGTTTTCGGCGACCTGGTATGCAACGAAAAAATTTAAAGTTTTACAGTTACACATTCTTGATGTGTTGCAGGCAAAGCAAGACAGACAAGCTCTGTCATGCCGGATATGCATAGGAGCCTTGTAGTCTACTTCTACGAGTTTCTCCTTACTAGGATCTCACTCTGCATTGCAAGTTTTCTCTCTACTCATGCAGAGAAAATTTGCGTTACTGCATTGACAAGAACTGAACGAGTGTGTAACTGTAGCCCTACTTTTCCATTCGTTGCATATCTGGCCACCGTCTGGGAGCAGTAGTGCCTCCGCTGGCTCTACATCGTTTTCATCCACTTCAGACAAGCAAAAACTGAAACCCTACAAGTTCGATATCCGGCAGTGGGTTCTGGTTACTGCCTTTAGCGAGCCAGATCTGCGGGCCTGGTTCTACGAGGATTGCTACTTGAGGTTCGCCACGCATCCCTATCAACCGGAGGTGCAGCAGATGAATCCGGGAACAACTACTGCCGGTGGTGCTAGTGTGGGTTCTGTGTTCGGGTCGTTAGATCTGCTAGACGACCGGGGTGCTGGAGGGGGAAGCTTCAAGAATGCTGGTGACGGTGGAACAATTACCAAAACTACGTCACCCAGCATTTCGAACTCTTCGGCAACCGCCCTCAAGAAATCTTCTTTCTCATCCTCTTCCAGTAGCAGCCCGGGCGGCGGTCGGGCAGGCGACAGTACAACTTCTAGAGACCACAGTAGTACAACAACGCCAGACCGCCCCAATCACGTACACCTTCCCTCGATTGCTGCAACCGCCGCGACGACCGTCAGTCCGCGGAAGGGCGTCAAGTACCTCAGCGGGCTGTCCGATGCGGATCAGTTCATGCACTTGACCAACAACGCGGTCGTGAAGAAAACCGATGATATCAAGGACTTCGATGTAGACCGCACCATGTGGCACAGCGACCGTTTCGCGACCTGGCTGGAGCAGCAGCGTTCGAACAAACAAATTCGGGAGAACGAAAACCGACGACGGCGGACGGTGCAGGCGGGTGGTTCTTCACTTTCCCCATCTTCGACGTCTCGAAGTCCGAGCATGTCAAACAATCGAGGAAGCCGAAGCCCAAATCATTCGCCAAATAATAGTCGAAACACGACGAGTACGACCCATGCTGGAGGTGCAGCTGCAACCAATGTTAATCGGAGCAGTCATCCACACCATCACACTAATTCCCCAGCCTCGCCTTCGTCGGGGGCGAACATTACCAAACCCTCCCTGGACGGCCCGTTCACGTGGCAAAACATCAAGTGGCAGATGAAGCGGCTGGTTTGGATTTCGCTCCGCGCCGCGGCCAAGCGCGGCTGCATCCACGAGCGCAGGAACAGCTTCGAGATCTTCGGCTACGACTTCATGGTGGACGCCCGCGGAAAGGTGTGGCTGATTGAAGTGAACGCAAACCTATCAAATGTAAAAGTGTCTGGGTCTGGAAGAATGCATGTTTGTCATGCTTGTCTGGCATGACTATTGAATCTGTCACGCACGTTGCCCAAGAGCCGCACTTTTCTGCCATGCGGAGACGCAATTTGTCATGCAGAATAGGCAACACCTACAAGCTCAGAAATTTGTCATACTGAGCCAGCACTTGTGGCCTCTTCATGCTACGCCACTCAGCATCACAAGTTTCCAGACCCAGACATTTTTACAGTTGATAAAACCCGGACTTGTCGTATTCGACCTCCACCACAAGGGATTTGGTTCCCCTCATGCTCCTATGCATCGCAAATATCATGTTCGGGTGTAAGTAAGTGTAAGTACACGAAGAAAGAAAATCGGTATTGCGCATTTCGAATGAAGCCAAAATCTACTACTTACCCTCTCATGCAAATACTTACTTATAGCAGGATGCGGATTTCTCATGTAGTTCACTGCGCTCTCTTTAATACCCGTGCCCGTCATAGGATTTGTCGTACTGCTAGTACGCGCGTCGTCTTCGTGGAGCGATCATCAGCATTGTAAATTTACGTCTTCGTGGAGCGATCACTCAGACATAGTTATTTGCAGTTGATAGGTCGCAGACGCGGCACACGTCGTCTTCGGGGAGGAGAAGTTCCCTTGTGCGGACAGTGACCAGAATATGCACGTACAAATTTTCCGTGCGCAACGTACATATACAAATTTCGCCAATCACAACTTGGAGTATGTCACTTGTCTTTGTCATGCTGAATAGGATAGTACTGGCGGAAAAGGTTTGGTTATGCAGAAGACGCTGCATATCTTGTACGGTGCGTACGGAAATTCATTTCCTGTGGATACGGAATTCGCTCGCGAAGTACTCTCTGTTGCAACACGGGCAGCACGTGAACACAAGCAGCGGTGGGGCCACGTCGGTCGGCGTGCACTCCTCGTCCTCTTCGGACTTGTTTCAAACGGCTGGAGGGTTGCTTCTGCCAACCGCAACTTCTAGCGGGACACAGGGCGGAAATCCAGTGGGAACTGCAAAGGGGCATGGGTACGAGTTGTTTTACCTTTTGCTTGTTCAATGTTGTAGTACTTAAAATGATCAAGCCACGTAGTACCTCCACTTCGTGCTTCTAGTTTTACTGGTTCCTGCTCGAACTGCTGAGTTGTTTGCAAACGTTTAGCTTTGCACTTTCATCAAAAGTGCGAATTGAAGATGTGTGCGATATGTTGCAACAGCAAATTCTCGACTAGCACGCAGTTCTAGCTGCACAACTTCTAAGTTCATTTGGACGTCATTCTGCCCATGGCCTGGAGATTAATGGCGCGTGATGAAATAAGAATCCGAAGGGAGTGACGTTATTGCTATCCAAATAATATTACACCACCTTGCAGTATCGCCCATCTCCCCGGTGCCGCACGAGTTGCGAGATCTCTGGAGCGCAGCGACCGGGAAGAATTCCTGGAATGTATTGCCGGCACCCACCGCCAGAGCAAGCGGGTGGGCCGATTTTCCTTGATGTTGCCGCACGAGTGGGACGCGGCGGTGCCGCAAGTTATGCCTTGTTACAAATTTCCGGATACTACCGTGCACGTACTACACAAAACGATAAACTAAACTTGGCTACTTTGTCATGTTTGGATGCGCTTGGTGGAAGCGTGGTTGGTTTCTCATCCGCAACCTAGATCGGAAGTTTGTAGACCCAGAACAATTTCTGTGCAATGCACGGCCGTGTTGTCATTTGTCTTTGTGTAGTACGTGCGCGGTGCAGTAGTTGCACATCAAGTGGATACACTTCTTCCAAGAAGATGGAACTAGTTTGGTGCAGTAGCACGACGTGGCCATCAGCACCACGCCAACGCCATACCTGTACGCCATGCCAAATCGTGCCATTCTGTTTCTGAGCAGCGAAAAATATGAAGATGCTTTGATAAAGTAAAATTTTTATATTGGCAACGATTCGGTCTTGTTGAGCGACGACTCTGCTTTGAGGCAGCTCGCCGACCACTCTGTCGCGAGCGACTGCACGACTTCTGCAATTTCCTTGAACTCTTTATGGGATTGAAAGCTATGAGGTACCTGAAGGAACAGGAGCAAGAATGACATCCGCATCGGCATCCGCTCTCGCCACAATCACTCAGATATTTATGAAGTGCGCTAGGGTTCGAACAAACGCAAATCTTGTTCGAGCTCATCGTGAAGAACAAGAACAATGCTGAGCTTCGTTTTCGTTCGTGCGTGATGCTAGTTTGCCGTCCTATTGCTGTTGCAAGAAGATTTCGTCTTCGTCTGCGAACTGATTTACGAACTACACTTTGCATTCACATCAATGTTTGGAGCGCTATCCCTATCAAAAGCATAGTAAGTTAGAAGAAGTGTCGCACAAGAAGTGTCGGTCGTCGTCGTTCTTTCTGCCGTGTTACAAATACCATCGGAGGTACGTAATCAATACAAGTCTGTTTCTCTCGCGCGGTCGGTCCCGGTCGTTCAAGACAAAACAATCGCACGCGTTGTTTGTCGTACAGAATTGTGGCGACTTTGGGCCATCTTAGAAATGTTGGACAGAAGCGGTTAGGAAATCGAGATAAATTATCGTCGGGTGAAATACCCTGGTGCTGGTGCACCATCTTCAGAGATGAGAACCATTGATTTTTTTTCTTCCTTTGTGCGCAGCTTGCCAGGTTCTCCCGGGACCCCGTACTATTGACTATAGATTTGTGCAGCACTTTTCACAGGAGCATAATAGCTAGAACTATCACAACTAGCCGCACCAGAAGTAGCACCAATGATCCAGCTGCCATAGTGGTGAGGTGGCTTGCTGAAATTTGAGAGAGTAGCTTCGCGCAGCAGGGTAGTAGTTTGTGTATGTGACTGTGTGTGAGTAGTTGTTGAAGCAGTTGATCTTGATTCATTTTTTTGTCGTCGCGATTTCTTCCGCTGAACCTGAAGTATCTTCCGTCCATTGTTTGAGGCAGGCATTGCTTGCAAGATGATTCAGAAACGCGACTTGTTTCTGTGTCTCTTTGCGCCGCTGGGTTTTTTCGCGAAAAGAACTCTTGCAGAGTCCTCTAGCGGGGTGGAGCCACTCCAGATTCATGGCTTCAATGCGGAGTTGGACGGATTACCCGACATTGCTCCTTTCGCAGATCGCATTTTTGAAGATTACCGATGGGCAATGGATCTGCCGGACGCTACGCTGAAACCGATAATCAGGCTCATGGAAAACAACATCCAAGTACTAGCAGCTCAAGAATCTTACAACTCTGGAAAATCTGGATGGAGCGATTTCGTCGTCAATGGGGAAGCGATTCACACAAGGTTGAGCGGATTTGTGAAATTTTTTAACCAAAAACTGGAAGCATTGTCGAACAAGTTGACGGATGAGGAGAGAGAAATCGTTAAGCATCCTCTGGACGAGGACGAGGTGGACGGCCTCAAGCCCAACTCGCTTCCCCCTGCCGTGGGACTCGAGTCGAAAAGGGTGGAAGTGTCAGAAAAAGTGGCAAAATTTCTGGTTGAATTGGATGATCAACTGGTCGAAGAAAAGTACGCATTATTGCGAGAAGATGTAAACAATTGGATGACGCAGGCACGGTACGAACAGCAGACGAGGAGGCAGGCCGATTCCTCACCCCGGATTCATGGCTTCAATGCGGAGCTCGATGGATTACCCGACATTGCTTTCGCAGATCGCATTATTGGAGTTCACCTCAATTATTATTATACAATAATTCAGCCGATCGATACTCTGGAAATGATAAAACAACGCATGGAAAACAGCATCGAAATGGCTCGATCTTACATCAACTCTGAAGAATCTGAATGGCGCAAATTGGTCGACGAGGGGGAAGCGATTCACGAGAGGTTGAGCGAATTTGTGGTTTTTTTTCGCGAAATGCTGAAGACATTCTCGGAAGGGTTGACGAAAAAAGAGACAGAAGTTGTTGACTATTTTCTGGACGGCTTCATGACTCCTCCCGAGGACCTCGAATCGAGAAAAGTGGCTCTGTCCGAAAAAGTGGCAAAATTTCTGGCACAGTTGGATGCGCAACTGGTCGAAAATCGCTACGCAACATTGCGAACAAATGTAAACGACTGGCTGACGAGGGCGTACGTGATGTACGAGCAGCAGGAGAGTCAGATCGTTTCCTCACCCATGAAGACAGAGGGCAGGTCAGAAATGCCCGACGTTAAACGAGAGCGAGCGGGGCAGAGCAAGACAACCGCAAGCGGGAGGCTTTCGTGGGTGTCTCAACAAGTGTTGCGACCTGGTCGACGACTTGTTTCTTCTTTTTTTCCGCAACGGCGGTCGTCCTTTTTACAAGAAGAACGAGAGCAGGAGCCCATCCTGGAAGAACACGCCAGTGCGGATGAACAACCGCCACGCATGCCCGGGACGGCCGTACAGCCTGCTGATGTGCAGGGGGATGAAGGTGAAATCAATGAGCAGATGAGAGGAAGAACGGAAAAACAAGAACCGATGCAGAAAGAGCGGCATTTACTGCCGGCAGAAGTGTCATCAAAATCTGGGTGCCTGGGAGATCAGCAAACCGACTCGCCGTCTTGCACTCGGCAAATAGATGAAGCCGCATCTTCTGACTTCAGCCTGAAGATGATCATGAACGGGTACGAGTACTACCTCGGCGGAGCAGCAGATGCGTTGTCGGGCATCAAGAGGCATCTGGACTGGGCGGCTGTCTTTTTCTGCTTCCTGCTACTTGCCGTTGTCGCGACGCTGGCATCCGTCGTCCTGTCTTACCTTCTCAAATGGCGCAAGACGGACGTGAAATCGCCAGCGGAGCAGAAGTCCAGGCCCGTCGTGGTCAGCAACAAATGCGCTTGCGGTCGGGATGCAGTGACGAGCGCCGAAAGTTCTAGAACTGAAAATCAGAAGGAGCAGGGGTCTAGAAGCAGTGCGAACCGCAATCTGCAGCTTGCGCTGGAGACGCGCGCCGTCGTATACAACGCGGAAAAGCGCGCCGAGTTTTTATCATGTTGAAGAGTGCCCTAGCCCGTGCCCGCCCAGAAGGTTGGGATGGTCTTCCTGTGGCTTTGAACGAAACGCAACAGTAGACTCCTTACAAATATCAATATGTTTGTATCACCTCCATATACACTTACATTTCGTCCAACCTGGGGTAAATTAACATTCCATGCAACAAAACGAAAACCTGCTGTCTATGTCTTGCATTGCGGTTGTCCTCCTGCAGTAGAGTCGGTGCTTATGGTCATCTTCGTCATATCGAAGCCATAGGACTGGCTTGGTTTCTGATTCTGATACAAATCGCGTCGCGTTCCCCTTAGGCGGAACAAAAATTCTCCATGATGATGTGGAAAGTCTGTTGGTTTACAAAGTCCTTGGCGTTCGCGGTTTGGAGCACTTTTCCTTTGCAGAGTTTTCCTCCTCAGCCTCCGAGAGCGAGGAATGCCAAAGCAGGCGTCCGATGTTGCACTATCCCGAATCACTCGCTGGCGAATGCGACGAAAAATTGCGGAAGAAATCGCACTCCGGACGAGATTGAGTGGCAGGAATAAGGGTTGGGTTTGGTTCATTCGTCTTCTTTTATTTGCTTTATGGTGCATGAAAGGATTTGTACCCGTGGCGATAATTTTCTAATTCTACCTCGAAGTATTTACTCTGACTATAGCCTTTTATTGTAGCTGCACCAGTACTAGAGCTAGTGTTGGTAACTAATGGTATCTGTTTTGTTTTGAGAAATTACGACCGTTTTTGCAAGTGTTACTACTCGTTTGTTTTTTTTTCTTCAACATATTGATTGTTTATGCATATCTTTGTTTCACCTTCACCATTTTCGATTGCTTGAGTCGATCGATTTCTCGCTTACTTTGCCTTGTTTTCAGTCAGCTGTGTTGTCCCCCCTCATTATAAAAAAGTGCAAAACGTTAACGTAGACATACTCACTGTACAAACGCAACACCCCATAGCACGAATCATTTCTTTTTTAGTTTCACCCCCCCCCCCCCGACACGCACACGATGCGCGACTTTCCCCGAAGTACTTCCGTGAATTCAGTGTGCTCCTGCCAGGTAAATGAAAAAACCAATATAGCGTGGGCATAAAACAAGCATCAAGAAAAAGCTGCATAAGTTGGATAATGTTACCGCGCGACGGAGTTTTGGGACGCGGCGGTGCCCTAAGCTACGCCATTGCAACTTTTGGGATACAGTGCACGTTGTATACAAAACAAGGACACAAATGAATCGCAAAACTTGTCATCTTTGGGTGCACTTAGAGGAACAGGAAGTGAAAGTGTGTTTCTCATCCGTCATCACAAGTTTGCAGATTTAGGCCTAATATTTGCAATGCATAGCAGTGTTGTCATGATTTGTTGTATAGGTGTACGTGCGCCTGCACGGAGGTGCAGTAGTTGCACAGGTGGATGCACTTCTTCTTCCAAGAAGATGGAACTAGTTTGGTGACGCAGCACGATGTGGCCACCAGCACCACGCCAACGCCCGACTTGTGAGCACCAGCTGCATGAGGTTGTTTTAGAGGCTCAGAGGATGAATGAAAAGAACGAGGCGGACCACTGCTCCGCTCCTAACGCGCATCACTGTTGTAAAGGTTATGACACGAAAAAAGCAGCTTCTTTTGGAACTTGTAAAAATGCAGGGAAGTTCAAGTTGTAATCAGGATGCAACGTCGCAGGCGCAGCGGCAGAAGAAGTTGTAATCATCCTGCTACAATAATAAATGCGAAAAGACAACTCAACATAGCCTTCGTGATGTTCTTCAGGATATTAATTTTTGCTGTCGAGCAATTTTGCACATCCTGCGGCTGCGATAATTGAGAGACGAACACCTCGGCTGCAGCAAATGCATCGGGCTCGGTCACAAGTCTTCACAAATCTCTCTTGAGTGATAGCTGATGTCATCTAACTCTAAGCTTGTGTTGTCGTGGGAGTTGGACTTCTTAACCTTGAGTGATCTCGAGCCCAGCCATCTGTGAGTGATAAATAAATTTTTGTCGGTGTCTTTCATGGACAAATGGACACGAGTGTTGCTGCTGGTCTGCTCAGTCCCACCGTCTTTCCTGACAATTGAAGGCGAGTAGCATTTTTGAATCGGTGTTGTTCGTCCTTGAAGCATGGTAAAGCGCTGCTGCATAAAGAGGATTTCATTCGGATTGCAAGATGAGGGACATGACAAGTAGATAAAACGCGATTTTTTACTCTATCTGCCCGCCGTACGAAAAACAAATGTCTTTTTTCACAAACTTCAGGGGTGAAAGAAAATCCTTCTGGTAGGGACTACGGAAGACGAGGACCTCCATGGCCTCTATCCCCCTTGAATACTAACAAGGTATTAAACCATCGATTTTGTTATCGTCCTAGTCAATGCATTGATATGCATGGCTTTGCAGAGTTTTCGTTTTTGTATTCGTAGAGTCTAAAAAAATTCCCGTATAAAAACAATCAACCCGAGGTACTACATCTTTAGCTCTAGTATCAGTATCAGAGCGGAAGCTTTGCTAGCTCATTTGTATGAACCATTCTTACACAGAGCGTCCAGTCCTCTTTTAAAAAACGGTGCAGTTGCATCGAGCCCACAATCAGAACCGGAACCGAAGCTGAAATATTTTTAAACAGAGTTAAAGCAGTTTTTCTTTTTTCCATTATCGATCCGCAAAAAGAACTTGTAATAAATCGGTAGAACCGGTTGCAGGGTGCTGAAATTTGACAAAAATTGACCGAAACAAGAATAAGGAGAAACAATGTCTGCCGTCGAGTTTCCGGACAGCGACGGAAACGTCGTGACCTTGACCAAGCCGGCAGGGTCTTATGCATTGCAAAAGTACCGCAACCGCACTCGTACTACTGATCGTAGTCATATATGTGAAAATCCCTTTGTCAAGGTAAATCTAAATCCGCATGAATTCTCACGACGCAGAGGAAACTTGTATTTGCGAATGCGATTTAAGTATATTAGTGTTAGTGCGACTGCGATGCCTTTGCACAGGATAGGTCTGACTCCGTGACCATCTTTACATTTGGTAACTCGGCGCACTACTTGGTGGAGGACTACACACAGCCGATTACCTACAACCACCTGACCAATGTGTTGTTCGACGGGGTAAGGGAGCTTACGAGAGTGCACAACACAAGAACTCCCCCTGCTGCCCCTCATTTGTCATGCAAAGACAAAAAGCCACAGGCTGTTCCTGTTGCTGTCTCGTTGAGCACGACTTTTTGCATGAGAAGTTCCACAAGAACACACCAAGCTGAAAACAGCACTGCAGTCCATCATGTCGTTTAAGTTTCTACATACAGTAGCTAGAAGCTTCACTTCTGCTGTCTCCTTTTGTGTAGTTGCTGCTCAACATCAGCATGCATTTTGAAAAATGCGGGCCGACGCGGAGTTTTCAGTTGGGCATTCTCATACGCCTGCACTTGGGCGTGGAAACGGAAGAAGACCACGCGGAGCTGTTGAAAGCTCTGCGAGACCTGTTGGCGGGCCAGTTCGAAGAGTACAATCGGGATTTGGCCATTGCGGAGACGAGCGACGGTACTACTTTGTGCCATACTTTTGAATAAATAAAAAAGATATGATGATGAAAACCCTGCAACTGCGATCGACATTGACCCGCATGAAAAGAACACGTTGTTTCGTTTGGTGCTTCTAGTAGGATCTATGATGATCTGGTGCAGTGATCATGTGCTTCTTTTTACTCGCTGCACTAGAAGTTGAAGTTCATCTTGCGCCGGAGGACTCGTTGCAACGCTGATCGATACACTCAGGGGCTCTTCGTTCCGTGAACTTGTTTTTCTCCTTCAGCTTCCATTGCCGTTAATATGCACTGAAGACGTGCACAAGGACAAGAATATAGAAAAAAACAAAGAGCGAACGCAAAATCCTCTCAGGCGAACTGGTCCTGGTTTCGGACGCCAGCGCTTTTCTGACCGAAGACGAGTTTTCCTTTTGCTCGGAGCACGACAACGAGCCCGAGCCGGCGACGGCGGACGAGTTTTCGATTTGCGAGGAGGACTCGGACGGGGTGGACTTTCCGTTCATGCCGGCTGCGAGATCCTGCTCCTCAGGCGAACATCAGGAGGAAAAGAACGCTGAGAAAAAGAACGCAGAGGTCGTAGGCTGCCACGTGAAGTGCCCCAGCGGGAACCTACTGAAAACGCCACAGAAGGACGACGAACCGGTATGCGAAAAGGACACCTACTGCATTGGTATAAAAATACTAGAAAACTATGCGTTTTTTCGTTGTATTTCTTTTTCATCTATTTGCATTTTTTCGATTTTTTCCGAGCGCAGGGCCGCTCCTTAGCTTTTTTTCGTCGTGTTTGGTGCAGCGATGAAACGCACAAAATTAAATAAATCCTTCACACGACCACCTACTTAGGTGTTCTCCGTGCGGAAGCGCCGATCGACGTGGAGTTGCTTGTCCAGAATAACGGCGAGACCGCGTGGCCGGAAGGTACGTACCTGACCTGCGTGAGCGGCAGCGGCTTCGGTGTGCCCGAGATGCAACTGGACAAGGTGGAAGTCAACGAGCTGGTGTCTCTGAGCTTGAAATCCCTGCAGAAACAGGAGGCCAGCGAGTCGTACTGGAGCCTGACGGACGGTATGCGGTTCTTCGGGCCCCTGATCTACATGACGCAGATTTAAGAATCATGCAGAGTTGGGCAGTAGATCAGATTCTTATTCTTTGAGACCACGCTCGGCTCCTGGTGGGACTTCACTCGAACTTGGTCAAAACCGTCCTCTTTACTGTAGTTCTGCGAATACTAAACTTCAGCATCATCATCCTCCAGTACTAATCTTCACAAACTAACTCATTCGATGAAGCGATTGAGTCACTAAAACTAATCCGTGAATAGATCGTTATCGTGAAGCTCGCGGATGTAGTTTTCGATCGGCCTACAGTGTTAGATCCTTGTGCAGATGATTGAGTCCACGAGAATGTTGTACCAGCACTTTGCAGCTTCCCCTTCCTAGGTTATGGAGTTGCAGTAGCGACTTCGTAAGTAGGACAACTGTTGTGTACGAAAAATGATACTACTTTTCACGACTAAGTAAGTAGGCAGCCCAGGACCAGGTCTTTATCCGCCGGGTTTCTTTTGCAGTGAGGCAGGTTACTCGAGGCGGGCCGGTTCCTGCATCACCGCTGCCTACTTCTTGTCGCTGCAAAACAACTACACAAGTCTTCAACTACAACTTAGTCTTCTCTCCCTACAACTCTGCAAGTTTGGCCCCCGCCTCCACTCAGTTTCGAAAGTACTGTGGTGTGAATTTGGGCGCGCGAAGCAAATTACAACGACCCAAAGCAGGTCGATTTCACGGAGCAGAATTTTGAAAACCGAGTTGGGAGTTGACGAAAACTACCTGATAAGGAAGCAAGAATAGCAGACCACCTTTAATATGATAAAGTGATGCATGCTCGATGTTGTTTGATCCCTCTTATTTTCTAGAGCTTGAGCCCTATCATTGCTTGTTTCATCAAGAACAGAGTGTCGGAAGTTATTAATTGCAGGTTGAGTTTGTAGAAGTGTTTGAAAGCACTTCGAAATTCCCTGTGATTGTGAAATACACCTACAAGATGAAGGTAGAAATCAATACCCAGCACGCCAATTTATCAGCTTCACTCCAAGAACAAGTAGATAATACACCTACAAGAATCTTCTGATTGTGCCTGAGCCAAGATGTGATTATTCCGAACAAGCAACCGCAACGCGAGCAATTCATCCCGGAAAAATCATAGGTGGATCACCTGTGGTCTCAAGATAGAACACCTCGGCCTCGTTGCGGTCACATCAACCAGAAGACAAAGTCGAGAAGAAGTGAAGAAACGAAAGGGTATTTTTTATCTTAGCGTGGTCAGCACACCCATGTACATGACCTAGCTCTGACGAAGGTCGTTCTCGCCCGCGATTCTTGTTCACGACTCGTACACTATGAGCCATCTCTTGCTGTTGAATACGTTCAAAGAAAAGAAAGCGTCGCAGCTTGTTGCGGCCTGGTTCTGGTGACAGTTTTACAATTTTTAATGGGTTTTGCTGATTGAGGATCCGAAGAGATGAATTGTGTGCCGTGCTGCACTTGTGTTTCCCCTCTGCAGCGACATGGTGCCCCACGACAGCAAGACCACATAAACCAACATGATGCAGGAAAAGATGTCGAATCTTTTTTTGATTTGTCTGTCTTTGTTTTTCGTTCATGTGCATGATCTGCGGTTTTTTTGCTGTTCCCTTTTCCTGCTTGTTCCATTCGAGGTCGACATGATGATCTGAAGGTAGTAGAAAACTCATTGCAATTTTTCACTTCGTCTGAAAACTTCTGCCGTTCGATCAGCCCAAATAACCAATAGTACCAGAACAGCTGCTATGCCTCATTGTGGTCATTTGGACGTATGCAACGTTGGAAAGCAAAGAGCTAATTATAGAAGATCTTGGTCTTGCATGATTTTATTTTTTTCTCGACGATTCGATCGAACACGAACTATTTGTGTTGACGTTTCTTGCAAACTACCCTAGTAAAAAAAATATTTTCTGGTTTCTCTCTCTGTTGGATGAAATTTGTCTTTTCGTTCGCGAAAGAATAGATAGCTCGGTAATAGAGTTAGAATTTTTTGGAATTTCGTCCTATATTTGTGATTCGCTAGTGCAGAAAATGAAATCAAGAAAGATCATGCCGCAACATGCACCAGGGATGAAGATGTTGAGCGCGCCAGGCGCCGACAACGAAGACAGCGCGCGAAGCTCTTTCCGCATTAACAGCGGACGGGAGGTGGAGCAAAGCCGGTGGGATGCCATTTTCACTAGTACTAAGAACACGTCCAGAAAAGTCTCCCATGCCACCACGACGACGCGGCGCGCTGCTGCTTTGCTCTTCCTCGCGGTTGCAGCGCGGCTAGACGCAGGTGTCGCACTTATGAAAGTGATGAAGTCCATGTCCACCAGTCCACGACAAAACCAAAACGTGGATGGGCGCACAGCAGGAGTGCAAGCACAAGGCACTACAACTCCAGTTTCGCCGTCGTCTTCTGCAGCTGCAACTACCGGCGGCCAACATCGTCGATTGGAGAGCATCGAGCGACTTTTCGATTTGGATCAGCCGACCAAACAAGCAGTACTGAAAATGAAAACCACGAAAAACTGCAATACTAGCAGTTGTGGGACCGCGCCAGGAGGTCCGAGGGCATCGCGGAGCGCAGAAGACGACGAGGATGAGGAAGATGAAGAAGCGGGGCTACACCAGTTGCTTTCACAGAAAAAGAAGAAAGATGCTCATTATCCTGGCCGAGAAATAAATTATACGAGTAAAGAGGTACTAGACCAGGCTCCATTTTTCATCGTCGATGGCGACACTCCTGGATCTTCGCGGTCCTCAATTGCATCGTCCACATCGGGTGGTTCCATTTCCTCCACTTCGCTCGCAGCAGGTGGAGAGCTGCCTCCCGATCATGGCCAGGAGCGTGGGGCCGCGGCGGATGTTGAAAAAGCGCACCTTGGTCATTCTCATTGTGCCCCCGTCTGTGGACCACACCAAGACCAATTGGGAAATGATAAAGTAGCAAGAAAACCGATCACAACTGCTACTGCGGCTACCGCAGCGGACGAAAATTGTCTTTGTGATCACGACAACTACGAGATGAAGCAGAATTCAAAAGATTCAACGGCCCTCTTCACCACGTCGGGTCGTCCAGGCTCTGGATCCGCAGCCTCATCAAGTTCATCGTCAAGCTCTGGGTCTCTATTTCACCTCAACGAGGACAAGGTCACCACTTCCGAAGACGCAGCCGCGGCATCTAGAAGTACGAAAAGATCTTCCGAACTCGTATCTCTTCCGTTTTTGGTGCAAGAACGCAGATCCAACTACAACCTTGAGCGAAGATCCACGAGCTCAATGATCATTGAGGATCCGACGTTGAGCGAGCAGGAGGAGCACGACCGGCGACAGAGAAAGAGAATGGGTGCTTCTTTCCGGCGCTTGTCGCAAAGGAAAACAGAAGCTCGTCGTGGCGAAGAAGTTAAGGAAGATGCTGACTGCTGGTCCTGCAGCGCCAGCACCAGCAGCTTTTCATCGAGAACAGATGAAAAGGCCCTTCGTCCTTCAGAGTCGTGTTCGGGAGCAGGTGCAGGAGGCTCATCTTTATCGGCGTTGCTAAATCTTGCGACGACTTCTACGATGACGTCGTCGGGCCAGGACCACATAAGCAAGAACGATCCTGCGGGCGGCGAAGAGGAGTTACTATCAGCTTCCTGCGAACAGCAGCACGCGGGCGGGGAAGTGGAAGGGCTGGGCGAGGACTTGAAATTGGCAATGATGGAGGAGTATGCATTGCAAACATGTCTGGGCCTGGAAGAGTGGAAAATGTTGCCATGCAGATTTTCCATACATGTACATCATGTGATGAGGTCTCCGTCTCGACTTGGAAACTAGCATCACAGATTCTGCAAGGTCCTTGCAATGCCTAAGCCTACCCTGCATGACGAGGAGAAGTGTCCCCTCATTTTTAAACTCGAGCGACATGATTCGTGGGGATCTTTTGGCAGTCATGTACATGTAACGCAGTAGAACAGAACGCATCACAAGTTGCGTCCTTCCAGACCCCGACAGATACTTCTAATGCATAAGGAACAAGTCAGAAAGATGGAGCAAATCCTCGGCGAGTTAAACAACCCGCACAGAATTTCGACGACGAAGAAGTACGACAAACTGTGTGCGAGACTCGCAAGAGATGCCGTTGTCGAGGAGAAAGAACGACAGCGAGCTGATCATATAGCTGAGCAGGAAGAACAGCAGCAGGGAATGCCACTGACTGCAGGTGGAATAGACGCTGAGTTGTCGAAAACAAAGACAGTAACAGCATCTTCCTGGTGCCCTTACTTCGGCGCTCAACAACCGGCTGCACTTCGGCAGTACCTCGAGGAGAGCGGGATGCCCGTGCCGAAACTCCTGCCAGAAGCAGCTGGGTTTAAGCCGCTGGAATTGTCGCCACTAGTACAACACAATCAAGAAGAAGATGAGATGAAACAAGAAGAGCAACGTCCACCTCAGATGAGCTGTACATCTTCAGTGAACAAATTAGTAAAGCTACCTCATGAAGTTGAAGTAGAAGTTGTGCCGCGAAACGAGGGAATAGAAAAGGATGATGACGAGACGACTGGGATGAGAAAAAGATCTTCAAGTCGTCCAGATGATGACTCTGATTCCTCTCCGCAGTTCTACCTGACCAGTCTCTCCCCGGGGGGAACCACAAGGAAGTCGTGGCCTGGGTCCTCGTTGGAGGCAAGTAGCGAGGAAGGAGCTGCAGGAGCTTCCGAAATTTGGTACGGCGTACCAGCGCAAGAACAGAGGAGAACAAGAAGAGTGCCAAACGCGGTAGCTCGTTTTGTTACAAGAAATCAGGCCTGCACGACACAAGGATCGTCATCTGCATCTTCATGTTCCAGCAACGAAGAGGACACGGAGGATTCCGAAGTCTCTGAGGAGATGCGGGAGTCGGACGACGTGTCTAACGTCTTTTCCGGTTGCAACAAGCAGTCGGGTGACGTCGAGAAGAACGCATCTGCTGGGGAACAATCTAAAAATGTGAATGACAACAACAGCGGCGAGGACGTGTTACAACAGGAGGATTCTGATGCTGACGAACCAAGTAGAACAGGCTGTTCTACTTCTTGCACGACTAGCAGAGCTCCTGCTACAGCACCACTCTACCTTCGCGAAAAATCCGAATCTTCTCCAACAGACGACTTGTTACCGTTCTTTGTGCAGCCGCACGACCGCTCGTGCGTAAATGAAGAAAGAAGTAGCTGCCAGAGCGCATCGGAAATTATGCAACTCGACGGTGCAGCAGATGAAAGTGAAACACATGCGGATCCTGTAGTTGTCGAAGACCCTACCGACGAAGACGAAGATCTCTTTCACGTCGCGACCAGCAAAAGTGGCGTACTGCGAAAATTGTGGAAGGACCACTTATCCACGGCCGCCCCCCTCGCCCGGCGTCCGTGTGTGACGGCCGGAGTTTTGCTCCTGTGTGCAGGGTTGGAGCAACTCTGTTTGCAGAATGGCGTGGTAGATAGCGGTATGTTTACTAGAGGAGCGTCATGCAAGAGCTGTTCGATAATACCAGAGCATGACGGGAGTAGTTCCTCGGGATCTTTCTCTACTTCTACTGCGTGGACCAACATCTTATTACCGGGTGAGGACCACGCAAAAGAAACAAAAGGGGCGGAGCTCTTCGCGCACGACAGCAAGGTTCTCGCCGGGGACTCTCCGGATGTTGACATGTTCGTCGACCACAAGATGATGTTGAGCAGCAACGAAGTTGATTCTCCGCACGAAGCGCCTGATAAACTCGGAACCGCTCGCCGTGAAGGTGGGAGTGAATCCGATGTCCACAGTGCTGTCACTGAAATGATCAGTCGTCGCGGACGAGGCAATAATCCTCCTGAGGAGGTGGGAGAAGAAGGAGATCAGGTACGAGAATTTTTATCGGTTCTTGTTGGAACAAGTAGAAGACGGGAAGGAAACATCTACTTTGCAATTTTTTTGTCTGTCGAGCTCGAATCCGCCCGCGTGTACTAGTATTGTATTGCGAGACAAGATGAAGAAAATTAGAAGTACTTCTCTCACTGAAATCTTTATCTGTAGGCGGAGCTGCAAGAACGAGAACATCTCCCTGCGAGGACGACTACGTCCGCGTTCGACAAGCTTCGGGATCGCAAAAATATGTTTGGCGGGCTAACGACATTATCGCTTGCGGCCGCGGCAACCGCATACCTACGCTCTTCTACTTCGAATAGCGGCGGCATGGCGTAGTACGAAGTTATTTGCAATTTTGGACTCATGATGTTTGCATTTTTTTGAAAGCCCGAAGGATACCGTTGTTTTTCGCATTGTGTAGTTCGCGAATCACGGCGGTACGGTTGATATTGGAAGAAAAACTTTGACATTGTCACGGGGACACGCGTAATTGCTTTTTTTTGGTTGATTTATAGTGCTTAAAATCAAGCTGTCGCTCGTTATTCAACGATGATGGCGTCGGAGACACGACTTGCCGTTCGTATACTGTATGCGAGCGACTAAGGAAGTGTTTCTGAAATGTAAGTACACCGCTACGTGCTGTACACACGGAGAACGTGGGCTTGATTTTCTTACATTGGATTTTTTATCACACCCCTGATACAGGATTCGGTCGCGACGTGGGTTGTAAAGCTTTTTCTTCTACTGATGTGCAGTAAAGCCATCGAAGCTCGTGATGCTCCTGCGCCGACGAGTGCGCTGTTTTCAAAATTTTACAGCGGCGGTTCCGTGTTACACTTGCCGCTTTTTAGCAAGCATGAAATTATACATAGTTTGCACCCGCCCAGGCGGGAGCGAATTGTTGATTTCCCTTCGATTTCGAAGGGGCCGGGTCATGGTGTCGTGGGAGCGAGGCAAATCGTCAGGTAGTCTGTCGCTCAAGGCAAAACCAAAAGGGGCAACTCCTTCTCGGATGTCGCATGTTCTTCGTAGTAAGTAGATCGTGAAGAGATGAGATGATGAAGCAAAAGGGAGTCCGGGGCGGGTTTGTAATTATGTCGTCTTCGTATATCTCCTGTGGTTTTCACAAACACAAGTTAGTTTAGAATTAGAACTAGAGGAACCTTTTGTGATTGATCGCCCACAGGCATATATGCTGCATTTACTGCCCTGACTGTGACGCTTTGAAAAAAAAATGATTTTCGCGAAATTCAGCCAGTTTGAGTTTAGAAGTTGAATTACCAAGAAATTGTCGAACTTGCCGCTGGAGAAGTATGAAAGTACATCCGCACGAGAAGTAGTTGCATTCTCCACAAAGAAAATGCAGAGGAGCAGTTGCAGTCCTCCTTGGCCCGGACGGGTCGTTCGCCTTTTCGCATTTGCCACCCTGATCACATTCGCACCGACGCGGGTCTTCGCCGGGGCGACGGTGTACCAAGCGCTGTGTTTTAACCGGGTTGAAATCCTCAAGTTTGCTCCGAAACCGACGGCGCAGTACTTGGAGTTTTTGCGAAAAAAGAACATCAGCGACGATACTTGGCCGATGACGGACTTTCTCTTTCACTACTTTGACGAGTACGGGCCAGAGTACACCCGGGCGCCGCTCCAGCTCACAAGTGACCCCTGCGTGCCGTTGGTCGTTCTGGAGCCTCATTTTAAACAGCTCGGATTCCACTTGAACAGTTTTTCCACGAAGAACACGGATGCAGCTTTTAGTACTTCCCAGAGCGGGAGGATGAAGTCGGAAAATTATGAGCACAACGAACAAAGAGGACAAGCACAAGAAGCACAAAACAATGATGTACAACAAGACGAGGCCGGCCAGCAGTTATCTTCTTGGGACGCTGTCAAGCACAAGGTTGGGAAACTTGCGTGGCGGCCGACCACGCTACTTTCGGTCGCGGACATGCAAGCCCCGGGCGGTTTCTGTGCAACTACGGGAACAAAAATCATAACCGGGGAAGAGGACCAGGACCACGGCGGTGCTGAAACGGAGCAGCTAATCGAGTACATCTTGAAGAAATTGTTCTTTTCATCTTCTTCATCACCTGAAGAGCACCTTCGTCTCGGTGGGCGGGGTGGAGCGACAGAAGGGGCTGCAATTGCTGCTGATCCACAAGAAGAACCGGAGTACCAGGAGCAACCCGAACAAGAACAATCTGGCGTCTCTCGTCCTTCGTCCCAGGCTGTGGATAGCGCCACTTCGCGAGATGAGCAGAACCGGGCAGGAGCTTCGTCAATGGCTACCGATGAAGACGCGGATTCCGCACTTCACGATGCGGTCGACGCTGAGGCAGAATCCTCGTCATCTTCGAGTACTAACGCTGCTGCAGCAAGAACTTCTTCCTCCGCCGATTTTGATTCTTCACGGACGGAGAAAGGGGAGGACGACGAGGGTGACAACGATAAAAAAGCAGGCATCCAAGAGGATGAAGTCGCGATAGTTACTCGTCCTGATGGTACTACAGCGACCACTCCTGTGTCCTCTCCCTCTGCCTCGTCGACAAGCGGTGATGTTGAACTAGACGGCAGTTCTGTAATTCAAACAAGCATCACAGGGCAGCATCCGAGCCATATTAAGATTCGGCGAGAGCGACTTCCGCCACGTAATTTACTGGAAATCAAAGAGAACAGCATGGGTAGAAGAAAAAAGCAGTGACGGGTTCTCTCTCCGCAGCCATCTCGAACTGTTCAAAAAAGAAGGAATAGTGAGAGGCAGGCTTCCATCCTTCAGCTTCGCCTCAGACTGGGACAAGCAGCATGACAAAGTCAATTGGGTGCTTCCTTCACATGACGAGCTACCACGCGAGCCCGAGACACGACCACCCCCACAGAGCGACTTTGAGATGCGGGCGCACATCCAGACGGCGACCGATAATCAGATAATCGGCGACGACTGTCCGGCACTCAGCCGCCGCGACCACCGCGGCTTCCCTGACCTCGCGTGCGGCAAAGCGTCCGGGCAGCTCGGTATCGAGCACCAGATACAGAACTCTCGTAGCGCTCCATCGACCGTCGGACTCAAAGTAAGTGACGGAGGCGTCGTCGATGGGAGAACGTTGAGCCATATGTCGACTATCACAGCAAAGGACGATAGCGACATTCGTGACTCTCCCCGCAGGACGGACTCTGTCGCTGAGGCAAGCGCTCCGCTAATTAGCTCCAGCGGACCCGGCAAAATCGCGGATCATTCTTCCTCTTCCTCGTCGTCATCTTCTGCTTCATCTTCTTCTCCTTCTTCGATATCGGAAGACTCAGCCTATTTCTTTGACAAGTCAGAGAATTTATGGGTCTGTAGCGACTGTTCGAAACCTCTGCAGGACAAAGCCGCCAGGACTGCGCACCGAGGCAGCGAGAAGCATATCAGGAACGTAAGCGCTTTGCAGTGGTGCAGAAATTGCGACGACAAGGACATCTTCTATTACGACCGCGCGGAAAAAGGATGGGTCTGCACGATATGCGACCGTGTTTGCCCCAGCGCGTCACGTCTCCAGATGCACCTACAAAGTAGCAATCACGCCGAGAAGGCGCAATTCGAGGATAGCAAGCTGCGCGATGAGATCCCTTGTGCGAGCGCTCGGGACGACAAGCCGTCTCAGGCGAGCATCCGTGCTGCCCCTGCTTCGCCTCAGCGGCGTCTACCTACCAGCGGCAAAAGGAGATCCGACCCAAAACTAGTAGAAAAAGCTGCCAAGGTTGCCAAATCCAAATGGAGCCAAGAGTCTCTGGAAGAGTCGAGCGAAGTGTCGCCTTTCGTCGCAAGTAAAAACATCCAACCTCACAGCACTCGCGGCATTTGCAACTATAGCTCCGATTCTGCCGATAGCAGCGCGAAACCGGGTATCGGGGCCAAGGACTGCCTGCTTAGGGGAAAAAGAGGAGCCGCCCACCTTGTCGACAAGACCCTCAAGATCCCAAAATCTGCCCCCAGTAAAGTCAAGGAGGTCCCGACCACGGAAGACAATGACAGCA